GTGACGCAGAAGTATAGATTCCCCTGCTATCTAACCTTTAGAGTACAGCTTTTCATAATACTCAGCTTCAAAATCACATATCAGAATGAGTTTTCTAGAATCCATCATTTATAGTAGGATCCAAATTACCTGACACTGGTCTTCTGCAATAAGGAGGCTTTATCGTGTGTATTCAAAGTCAGAAATTGTCCAGGCTACTGGTGCACATCATTCTGCAATAAAACTATGTTTTCAAATAGTTTTGAATCCTTAAATGTTTTTTTCCTTTTAAAACTTGAAAAATATATTAAATTACTTATTAACAAAATAATATAAAAACCTACTTGACTAAACAGACTTCTCAAGAAAGTCATGGTCAGAGAAAGGTTTTCTGGAACTTCTGGTTTCAAGAACTGTACTTACCTCAATTTGTGTTTACAAATGTGATAGAATCTAACAGTTGTGCAAAAAATTGTAAATCGTAACATTTTAGGTGTCCCAAATCAGTCACATTTTGTACATTGTTATTTGAAGTTCCTCCTTCGATGTTTAAAGAACTACTAGCACTAGCAGGGCAAAATCAGAAAAAAGGACATGCAATGGAGGAATCAATTTTGTTGTAAATAGCTCATGTAAAATGGCAGGGGCAACAGAGGGCCTACATCAGCTTTCCAAACTTTTCATGTTGGTAACACACTTCTTATACATGCATCATTTAGCCACATAGTAATTCAGTTTTACTAGCAAACCCGAGGTTAAACTAACCCATTTCCAGCTCCAGGAGGAGCACAGGGAGCATTCACATGACGCGCCTACAAACTGCAGCCAACACACTGACATGTTGCAAAACACAGTTTGGAAAGCTCTGGGCTACACAATTGGAAAGCCAGCAGGGTGTGTTGGACCTATTGTGCAGTCTTCTCCAAAGGGGAAAGCTGTTATATGTAACACAGGGATCAGGTTTGCTGTGGGGACCCCCGTGTTTTGTTAACAGAAGTCCAGAAATGAAGAACCTGCGTCCTTAATACCTCCATGCATTTCCATGGGAAGCACAGCCCAGTCACAGGGTGCTCAGTCATATGTGTGTAGCAGGTCAAGGATGTGCAAATGCATATTTTACCAGTAAGCAGCAGGAGAGGATGGTGCAATATGAATGGACCAGCAGCAAAGTAGATTGCTTCCTTTAGTCTGAAGCCACTTGTAAAGTATGTATTAATTGGTTTTCACTTTTTCCTCTCCTGAACCATGATTTTCAAAGAGAGGGAGTGAGAGGGACAAGGTTGATATTGACACAAATCTGTTGGCGTGAGTCCCTACTTAAAATCTTGTTTAAAAAATTAGAAAAGTCTAATAATGGTTGAAGATTAGGATGCATAGCGGGCTGCACCAGCTCCTTGCATGATCTTTGGTAACATACAAAACAGCTGGTCTGAAGGACATACCCTAAGAAGAAGCATCTATGTACACCTAAGCAATACTCTGATACAGAAGCAGGTGGAAAGGCATACAGTGCTCGGCACACACACAAAAGCTGCAGTGTTTTTTGCTTCTTATGTTTGTCCATCTTTGATTAAGTTAAAAATAGGCTATACCATTGATGAGGAAGCAGTCACACTCAAAACTTCCATTCCCTAGGGAGTTCCAGGGTAAAAACATTAATGTGTCTGGCTAGAGACTTATTTCAGACAGGAAAGCAGAGATACAAAAGCGAAGGCAGATAAACAGCACCTGCTCCCTTATTAGGAAGGCAGCTGATAGGGTGCGGGTCTGGTGTGTTCATGTTCCCATAACACCACAGCCAGGGATTTGGGAAGCAGGGTGGGGATGAGCAAACAGCAGCTTTCTTCATTTCCCGTGCAACAAAATATTGTGTGTACATATTACGTCTACAGAATACTGTAAACCCTACTCCCAGAAAAAGCACTGACAATTTCCAGCTCTGTCCCTTACACATAGTATCATTGTTTCATAGTACATTGAAACACAGCCACTAAATCTTATTTGTTTGAAAAGCTGATACCAATAATGTTTCCTTACTCACAATGGATTGAATCCGGTGTGGATTAGTAGGACTTTGGATGCTCGTGATTAACTAAAACCCCTTTAATTTAAACGAGTCTGCTCCAAGTACAATTTACACCTCGTTTCAATTCAAATATATTAGATTTGTTATCTTTGGAAGAAAAAATATGAATCCCTGCAACCCACGTGTGTGGGGTGAATAATATAATCAATGCATCGGTTGGGTGCCTCGATTCAAAACATGGGGCAGTAGCAGAGTTTACTGCTGCTAAACTTTTGTGAGTTTAAACTGGGACTATAGGTTGTTAGACTCTTTTATCCCATTTAGTCTGCTTGGAAACAGTGCTCCTATTTCTACCCCTCTTGCAATGAACAGCCCACACACTGCTAAATAAGTTTTAAATGCTTTACTTACAAAGTGTTCCAAAGGTCAAATTCATGCATTTCTCGAAGCAGCAGCAAAGGAGAATACAGGCAGAATACGTTTCTGGGTCAAAAATAGAGAGACATAGCTTCAAACACATGTTCAAAGCTTGGCGCTTGCTTAGGCAGATCTTCCTTGGTCAGTTACATGACGTAGAGAGAGAAGGAACAGGAAGGGAAGGCTTTACTTTCTCTCTCATTGGAGAAGGGGGGCGTGACCTAGTTGAGTCTAGGAATCCAGCTCTGTAGTCTTAATCCCTTCATGCACTAACTAGCACTCATGCAGTTATATTTGATTGTATGCTATTCATTAGAGGCTCCTGGAGGGTACTGACACTTTCAGGAAGGCATCTCTTACTAGGTTGTGTTGAAACAAAAAAATTCCTTCCAGTAGCACCTTAAAGACCAACTAAGTTAGTTCTTGGTATGAGCTTTCGTGTTTTGACTATGGCAGACCAACACGGCTACCTATCTGTAACTAGGTTGTGTTGAGTTAGCGCTCTTAAGAGCCTAATCCCAAGGTCTGGGATTAGGGAGCCAGTGTGGTGTAGTGGTTAAAAGCGGTAGATTTGTAATCTGGGGAACCGGGTTCGCGTCTCCCGCTCCTCCACATGCAGCTGCTGGGTGACCTTGGGCTAGTCACACTTCTCTGAAGTCTCTCAGCCCCACTCACCTCACAGAGTGTTTGTTGTGGGGGAGGAAGGGAAAGGAGATTGTTAGCCGCTTTGAGACTCCTGAAGGGGAGTGAAAGGCGGGATATCAAATCCAAACTCTTCTTCTTCTTCCAGTTTATCTTGGGGGTTACCGGTAGCTCCCATCCTCTTCCTCATTTCTCCCAGCACTATTTAGGTAGTATGGTCCCATGGACAATGTTTTTCCACTTTAGAGAGGGAGGTTTCTTCACCTTCACTAGTGAAATCAGGTGGGTGGCACCCGGAGAAGGCCTTGTTAGTTGTGGTGCTCAGTCTATCAAATTCCCTTTCGAGACATGTTTGTCTGACACCAGCTGCACCATCTTTTCGTCACTGCGTGCTATTTTAACATATAAACTATGCTTTATTTTTACTTCGGTATTTATCTTGCTTTTGTTAAATTGTCTGAAAGTATTGCTAACAGTATAAATCCTTTAATTAAATATTCTGTAAACACCAAGAGCTTCTTCTTACGTTGCAGTGACCTAAACAGTTTAAAGTTTAATGGTTTGAAAGCCATCCAAGTTGGTAGTCATTACTGCGTTTTGTGGTAGCAAATTACACAGTTTAAAGAAAGATTTGTGTAAATAAATATTTCCTTTTGTCTTCCCTGAATCTTCCAATATCTGGCTTCATTGGATGACCTTCAGTTTTAATACCAAGGGAGAAAAACTTCCCTGTATCTTTTCCAAACTAAAAAGCCGAAATTGTTGTAATCTTTCCATATAGTGGAAGTTCACTTTAGCCACTTTAGCCACAATTTCGCTTGCTCTTCTCTGTATATTTTTCAGCTCTGCAATAGCTTTTTCTGAGATGTGGTGACCAGAACTGTAGTTTTTCAAGTGTGGTCACACCACAAATCTATGTAACAGCAATATATCATGTTGATCTAGGGAAGAAGCTATAACAGACATAACATAAACGGAGACTGCAAAGTTTTGCAGAAAAGCATGGATGAGAACATATTCACCCATGCAGACTACATCCTATCACTTTCCCTTTGACCTTGCCTCCTACATATTCTCTTCAAGGCAAGATAGCATTTCCAGGAAAGGAAGTACTTTAAATGAGGTTTACATATTATTTCAAACTAAATGCACTCTTAAGGCACGAGGCACTTTTAAGTTAGCGTTTCACAGCTGAAGCGTTTGATTCCTGCAATCCAGATGGACTTGCTGGGGGGAAAATAACCCGTTTGGAACATACCTGCTCTAAGCTAAATTAAAGCAGAGACACAAAAAGGTTAGAAGGCTATGATTTCTGACTAGATTTAATTCCTAATTTGTCCAGCACATGAATACCTTCCCAAACTCATGGTCAAGGCAATCTCTGCTCACTCCATTTTCAGTCGGTAGAACAGCATTAAGGGCTGGGCAATAAATCTCTTGTGTCTTAATTACCTATCTGTAAGATGGAAGATAATAATACCTTCCTACATCAAAGGGATGTTGCAAAGAAATTCATTAGTGTGCGTGTGTTAAGAGATTCAAACTCTGGTGAGAGCAGCTAAATAACGAAGTCGATAGAGCTTCACGGCAGGAAGCAAATCACAGGGCAATTGTGTATGCTTAGGTAGGACATTCTCTATTAAAGGAAACAGCTGGGTTTTGTTTAAAAACCAATCCAATGCACTGTGATCTGGTGAGGATTAATGAAAATATAATAATGCATTTGCATATAAACATGTTCTGAAGCTTTTGTATGTCACTTTATTCTTATACATCAACACAAGATGCCCTTGTTAGGTGTTGTTTCCCTCCATTTCTGTAATGTGTGTGTATAACAGAGGAGCTAAACCAACTGAAATGAAATGATATTTTTCAAAGTAGGAGGCTACTGCAGGTGGCACCATTTTTGACCAGTCCTAAATAAAGACACTAGGGGTTAGGTGATAATTACTTCATTTATTGACTGAAACATGCATATATTCCTAGACATTATGGCCACCAGCACAGCAATGAAAATAAATGTTATGAAAAGACAAGAAATATTTTCCCTTCCCACTCTGCAAACAATAGAAATATTCAAGTTCCAGGCAAAAAAATAGGAGAAAAATAGAGAGGGGGAGATGACCAGATGCTTATAATGGACCAAAGCCGCGTTAGCATGAGCACTAGAAATCATTCAGCTTGTTTAACACCTCCATTACAACCCCAGACCTTTTAATATATTCCAGCTTCATCCTCTCTACCAGGTACCACATGATGTTGTTTAACCTCCATTGACCACCATTCCTCCAATCAAGCAGGTGGAATTGCCAAATAAGAGATTAAAAGCAGGAACATAAGAGAAATTACAGTGGCATAATCTCCAGTGTTTACATGGAACTGGGGTTTAGTTAAGAGGAGATGTGAAATCAAAGCTGCATCTCGTAAGCGATAAAGAAATTGAGTTTCCAAAGCTCAGCTTCTGCTGTTACAGTGCTATTTACGTTGAAGCAGGAAACAAAAATGCTGGAAAAAGACCCCTCGCAGGCATGGCCAAACTTGGCCCTTCATATGTTTTCGGACTACAATTCCCATCATCCCTGGCCACTGGTCCTGTTAGCTAGGGATGATGGGAGTTGTAGTCCCAAAACATCTGGAGGGCCAAGTTTGGCCATGTCTGGCTGGGCATTTTAGACCTTGTGCTATAATGTCAGACCTTGGACCCAGCCAGCCATGTATGGCAGCCCACCAGGGCTCAAGAAGCTTTCTGGTTTTGCATATGCAGACACGGCTTCTGAAAGGCCTGGCAGCCTACAATGTATGGCTGGTTGGCTACTTACAGCAAAAGCCATGCAAGTCTGCGTATGTGAATCTTTAAATATCCTTTTGCACAGATCTGCATGTATTATGAGTGCTCCATGGAGATCACACGGCGCTTTGGCTTTCACCAAAACCCACTTAGTTGGAATTAGTTTGTATTTTAAATCCTCTGGTTCTAAAAAATGAGCTGTACTGCCAAATTATTAAGTTGTGAAATCAATGGGACATATCTTCTAAATAAGTGTGCTTAGTATCCTCCCAGCCAGAGCGAAGTTATCTATAAGGCAGCATATCTCAGATTTAGTGAAAATATTGGGGAGTTATATTTGCTGGCAAGGAGATGTCGTTATTGTCAACAAATGAAAAGAACCCAAAAAAGTCAGCAGGTGGCCATTATCTGTACATGTTTCATTAAAATCGCATAAACCTTAAGTACAAAAACACCACGGATTATTGCTCTAGAAAAAACCGCAAGAAAAACCCAAACACCCACGGTAAGAACATCACCATATGCACAAGACGTACATTTCTGAAAAGCGAGAATATGGAATGCTGGTCCAACATTACAAACACTTTTTCCCCTCCCCCAATGTTAAGCTGATACTTTTTAAAAACTTGGCAACATTGGGGATTTCTAGAAGCGTGGGTATGGAAGGAGGGAAATGTTCATATACAGTTTGTCAACTTATTTTAAGTCCTAAAAAATTAGCATTTACAAAATACTTGATAAAAATATCTTTTAAAAGTTGTCTAGAGGTACATAAAATCATCCTCAAATGTTCATGTCAGTTCACACGCACTTGTCATCTACTGATTCAGTTCTCTGTACCTGCAAAAAAAGGAAAGGGAAAAGAAGGTTTTGGTAACTGACCACTACATGCAAGTCTCCTTTTTTTTAAAAAAAGCAGCACAACCAATATGCAATCTTTCCTTTTGCATAATTTGTACAGCCCAGTTCCGGACTTTTAAACACTGCATTGATATAGACAGGACATCTATAAACTTACATTCATTGGTTCCTGATTTTCAAAAGCCAGAGAAGCCTTACCTGCCAGCTTCAATTGTTCACAATGAAAAGCACCACACTACTATCTGCCTCTATTCACTGCACTCATGCAGATTGCTCTACCGTACCCTGAACTTTCACTGTTTCAATCTGCCCTTTTACTGACAGTGTGCTGGGTGGGGCACCTCTGGATGCTGAAACACTAACAGTGGAGCGAGAGATGCGGATCTGTAATAACATCACGGGGCAATAAAAAGAAATATTATGAACATGCTTGCAATGGCTGGAAAAACCGAATTACAAAACACAACTGAGTGAATCGGCAGGAGTTCTGCGCGCAAAGTACCTCTTCAGTGTTACTTTCACCATTTTCAGACGGTGCAGTACCTTCCTTTGCTGCTTCCTGCTTTTCATCCTTCTTCCCCTTAGCACCTTTGCTGGCCTTTGCTCCGGGTTCCTTCTGGAAAACAAGATCAAACGGAGGGAGATGGATTCATTATAGAACCGAGAAAGCTCCCCAGCAACTGCGAGCGCTCTGCAAAAACCCATCAGAAATAAATCACTGGAGGCTCTCTTGGCACATTGCACAAGCACCTGGAATCACAGAATTGTAGAGTTGGAAGGGACCCCGAGGAACATCTAGTCCAACCCCCTGCAATGCAGGAATAGGCAGCTGTCCCATATGGGGATCGAACCAGCAACCTTGGCATTATTAGCACCGTGCTCTAACCAGCTGAGCTACCTATGCACAATCCCTTTCCGCCTCCACCCCTCCAGGTTTTGTGTGAAGAGGGAAAGGTACATATGCCAGTCCAGAAATGAGATTGGTGTACATATGTTTGCACGCAGGAACCCAAGTCAACTAGGCATCTTTCTTCACCACTTCTGTGGAGACGACCAAAAAACTACAAGGTATTTTAATCTTGTGCACTGAAAATATTTTGACTTAATCTGATGGATTGTTCCAGTAGAGAGGTAAGCTTATCTATCTATCATCTATCTATCTATCTATCATTTCAGGAAGTGCCTATATTTTAAGGACTGGCTAATAAAAACATGGAATATGGTAGAAAGTGAAACTCCAGACACTAATTATCCAGACCAGTGTTTCCCAACCTTGGGCCTCCAGCTGTTTTTGAACTACAATTCCCATCATCCCTGACCACTGGTCTTGCTAGCTAGGATGATGGGAGTTGTAGTCCAAAAACAGCTGGAGGCCCAAGGTTGGGAAACACTGATCCAGACTAACACTTCTTGCATGACAGCTGTTTCTACACTGGACTGATCCTGTTGACCTTATAAATCAGGCATAGGCAAACTCGGCCCTCCAGATGTTTTTGGGACTACAACTGCCATCATCCCTGACTACTGGTCCTGTTAGCTAGGGATGGTAGGAGTTGTAGTCCGAAAAACATCTGGAGGGCTGAGTTTGCCTATGCCTGTTATAAATAATTAAGGTACTAAATTGAGTTGAAGTGATACTACTTTAGTTCTCTTTGATGTGGGGGCACGAAGGCTTCTCACTAGGAAAATGGGGAGGGAAGGAGCCTGACACATGCAGAACTTCTCCATGCTCTCTAACTCGCTGAGCACTCATGTCTCTAGCTGGAGGACCCCAATGATTTGCGGAGATTGGAACACTGGACTTCCTGTAAGTGTTCTTAAGGTCAGTGGAGAGTGGAGCTTGCAAGAAATGATCAATTCCTTTTCTAGAAGGCAAGGTCAAAACTTGCAAAGAACATTTATCAGAGCCCGCTGGAAGGGGAGGCAACCTGTCCCAGATTTGGCCATAGCAAGAAAACCCTTAACCATGTACTATAACCAGGTTAATTTATTCATTCATTCAATTTGTCTCCTGCCTCTTCCTCGGAACCAGGACTCAAGATAGCTCACAAAAATAAAAATAAATAGGCTGGGGGTTTTCAGGGTACAACAGCCCTGCAGGGCGGTTAAGTGTTTTGCCTTGATTGCAGGTTGGAGGACTATGCTGAGAGTAGCTTACACCAGCCCTATAATGTAGAGCACTGCAAATATTGCAGCTCAGAGGTGGGCACCCTCCTTTCAGGCCAAACCAAGCCCTCACTGTATGCAGAGGGTGTGTGTGTGTGTGTGTGTGGACTATATATATATTTACAGGGCTCCAGAGCTATATACAAATATGTACTCGGCTCGCCAAGTGTCCAGTAATGTTTGGCTTAGGAGAAAAAGGCAGAAGGCAAAGTGCGTTTAAGACAGGGCTGAAGTCAGAACAGCTGGAAAACAACTGCATGCTCTATCTAATTAGGATTTACCAAACTGTGTGCAGCCCTTAAAACGATCAATTATTTTCAAAGCTTCTATTACTCTTTTATCTCAGGCTAATATAACAACACAAATTACTTTGCCACGACGGTATTATTTATATCCCGCCTTTATTTCCAGGAACTCAAGGCGAAACACACTTCCTCCATTTTATCTTCACAACCCTGTGAGGTAAGTTAGGCTGGTAGTGATTGGCCCAAAGTCACCCAGTGAGCTTCATGGCTGAGGGAGCATTTGAAACTAGGCCTCCTCAATCCTAGTCTGACATGCTAACCATACACAACATCAGTGTTGCTCCACCTCTGTGAAGTACTGGGCATTTATCCCAAGGTAGCGCAAAGTAATATGTCCCATCGCTGCAACAATTTCCATTTGTGCAACAGGAATTCCCCTCTCCATTTGATCTAGAGGTTCCCCTAACTCTCCAGAGCAGATTTGGGGAGGGTGCAGGGTGCATGAAAAGGAAAGTGGGGAAGGTGGAAAGTCCCTTGCTCTGGCGGGATGCCCATTCAAAGCAGACCTCTCATATCTGTGCTTTTCGGTTTCAACTGACACTGGCTGACAGCTTACTTGGGAGACTGCTACAGCTCTAGACTCCAGAGAAGCGGGATATCGTTTTTCTTGGGTCTCCTTTGCTTGTGGAGCGGGGCTATAAAGCTACTGCTTATCAGGCTTAAATCTGATGGAAGGGAGGGGGCGCAGAATTAATCTCAGGAGTGTCCATTTTATTTTTGCACCTTGTGAGAATTAGATGTTTTTGGCTTTCATGACAAAATAAAATTTAAAATGTAGTATAGGTGCAACCAGCAATGAAGAACTGCAAGGTACTTACTATGTAAAGTAAAAACTATTGCTAATTTCTTTTCCAGAGACATGCTCATGCAATCATGGAACAGAGCTCATGCCCCCAATATAGTTCTAACTTAAAATTTTGCTAAGCTGAAGAAATTGATTCATCATTCCCTTTCCCATAAATAGATACTGTGTTTTCACCTCTGAATGTTGTTAGTATCTGTGCTTATAACAATACATTATGTGACAACTATCCCAGGCTGTGAGCCTACAACTCAGGTTGTTTACTGTTGCAAAAGTTTCACAGAACTGACCCGCAGTTGCTGCCTTTTCTTATGTTAATCCTACATTAATTTTAATTACTTTAAGATGTAATGATTTCATTAACTATTAACAGTTATAACCCTCTATTCATGTTGGGTAGACTGAGCAAGATAATATAGTGGTACAGAGAAAGCGCCCAGTAGGCAGAGTAAAACATAAAACAAACCACTGTTAAAATAAATTTTTACCTTAGTGGTTTTTCTTGGCTTAGGCTCAGGTTTTGGTGGAGCTGGTTTCTAGGAAAGAATTTCAGACAATCCAAGCATTAGCACAGTTGCTACCAATTGTTTCTTAATCTTTCCCCACTTCTTAACATGTGACACCAAAGAAGCCAGAGGCCGTTTCTACAGATAGGCTTCAGTCAAAATTACCTTCTATATCTTATCAAAATGTCTGAAAGTCTGGTTCTCTGCACGTTATAGATGTACTGTGAGAAACAGTTTCCCGTCATCTCCAAAAGAGGTTGCATTTCTCTCTCTCCACACACACACACACACACACACACACACACACACACACACAATGACCACACATTTCTTTTCTGGAAAGGATATAAGGAGCCAGCCAACCAACACAACATGTGAGTTTGGTTATTCAGATTCCTGTGAATCAGGGATGGGGAGCCTGTGGTCCCCCATAGTTGATGGACTCAAGTTCCAATCAGCCCCAGCTGACATCGCCGATGGTCAAGGATGATGGGAACTGTAGTCAAACATCTCGAAAGCCACAGGTTCCTTGTGCCTGCTATAAATCTCAGAAACTTTAACAACCGGAGTTTAATATTCTTTAATGACTGGGGGTGCACTCCAGATATCCTTTACAGACTTTGGAAAATGACATATTTCATACAGAGGAAGGGGGGCACAAATAGTTTGGAGCTAGTTCTACTACTTGCCTTAGGGGAGAGAGGCTGCAAGAGTTTGGCTGAGTATCTAAAGCAGGATCAGGAGTGCTGATACCCAATGCTGGAAGATCTGTTCCTTCCAATATGCTCTATGTGCATATTTGTAGGTAAAATAAATTATTATAAAAATGCTACAGATCTTGTGCTCAGACCAAAAGGAAACAAAACCCTTCGTAGCTGTCCCGGGGCTTCTTGCTGCTCAGGAAAGTTTGATCGTTCCAGAAGCCCGATTTACATTCAAGGATTAAACACCAAATCTAGGTAACATTGGCTTACCACTCGCCACACGGCATGGCCAGTGCCACCTTGTCAAGCTTGACGTGAGAAAGAACGTGGCTTCCTATCTACACAAACAAGCTCTTATAAATACTTACAGCTGACAATCTTGCAGATCGTCTTGTTGGCTATAAAAAGGAAAGAAAATATCTTTGTAGATTTGCAGCAGTTCACATCCACACAAGGCAAAAATCTGTCACTCATTTGCCAACAAAATAAAATGTACCTGAAAGACAACAGAAGTCTTTATTACCAAATGCAAAGGTCTTTGCATCCTGAGGGATTATTGTTTTACATGTACGCGATGTACTTGCTCAGCTTATTTGCTTACTACGTTTTGGAATCTTATCTTCCTGTTTGTTTCTCTACGGTTGTGGAAACCTCTTGTGGCAAGATCAGTGGAAATTATTTCTGGGACTGTGCTCCAAGGCACATTATGAACAAACAAAATCTGAAACCCCCATTCCCAAAGCCCAAGTAAGAGTGACTTGGTGGCCTTTGGAGCTTTCTAAAAATAATAATGCCGTATTCTTTGAGCACCCAAACACTGGGGAATAAATAATGCACACCTAGTAAACTAGACTTTCTTGATGTGGAATTTGGATTCTTTTGCAACGGAATCTAAAGAGTCTTGATGCTAATGATTGAAATTTGATACTATGATCAGAAAACATCAGTGCTGACACGGAATCTTTAACTTACTGCTCCTTTTGTAAACTGGAATCTGGTGGGAGAGGATCTTGAAAAGTCGTAACTTGTAAATAACTGGTAGAGTTGTGCGGAAAATCTGAGAAAGGTACAACCAGGATTTTTAAGGGGAATTTGTGGCTTCATGGATTGGCGAGTGAAGCATCAAGCCACACATTCATTCAGAGGAATTTTGAATCGGAAGTACTTTTGCTTTCCTCTGTGACGTAAGTCAGGCCAAACTTAAAACAACAATGTACTATTTGTTTATTTTAATTAACGCTTTTAGAGAATTTATTGCAAGGCAGTGAACAATAATATAAAGTTCGGCATGAAACAATGATATCAAAAACACTCCAATAAAATACTAAAATAATAAAAACAGGGGGCAAAGATACAAACAACCCAAGGTTATTATGATATCACCAAGTCCAGCTGTAGAAAGCAAACCCATCAACTGAGCTCTCCTTCAAGAAAAAGGCCATGGCAAAAGGCATGTCTTCAGGTGAAGACCAGCTGTGGTCCTACGGTACACAGGCACCACCAGCACATTCTGCTGTTTTTCTGATCTAACAAAAATGAACCATGAATGGGGATATGGTCCCACCCATGGAAAGCCTATTGGAAGCTTGAGAAACTGCCAGGCATGGTTGAGTAGGAGGGAGAAAGTCACATTCATCTGGGGAGGGGACATACACAGTACTCCTGCGCCACCTAAGAGATAACCCTTCAGGGGTAGATCTTCACAGTGCTAGCCATCTGTTCCCATGCTATAAGCATTTGACAATCTCGGTGCAAGCATCCCCTGCTCCGTGTAGCACTGTCGGAACTGACAGGGCTGACCACACCTTAGGAAACAGGAAAGGGAGAACACTATAATATTAGTATTTGGTGTGCCACCTGAGGCATGCCTGTAGCTTTTGTACCATGTTTGTGTTTTCTAGTTGAGGAGGATTTTCTCTTCCCCCTTCCAGGCTTGGGCATGCACTGGACATTTCACTGGCAAAGTAGCAATGATGTGATATGAGCACAGGACTGGTGTGAAAAACACATTTTCTTTCCTAAATGCGTGCATCTCAATCTAGTAGTCTCATACATGGTTGCACACATGGAGTTGCACCTGGAGTTGCAGAAGAAATTCTGGCCAAGTCTGATGTTTGTGAACTACTGTGCAAGAGCTAGAGGAATATCGTTCAAGAGGTTGAGAAAGTTTGCTTTCCTCGCACAAGTATCTTGCACTAAGTCAGGAAAGCTGCTGCTGCAAACTGAAGAGGCCTTCTTCGCCTTGCGGAAGGGCACCTTTTAGCACACACAGACCATAAATTTTCAGCTCCAGAACCAAATTTCTTCACATGACGTAAATAAGCCTGCGCAGCGCACTGAGCTCCAGGTCAGAGTAACGAAGAGAATTATTCTACTTTATCACACCAGTGTCAGGCTTTCCATTTTTCCAAAAAATGACCATTTCATTCAGCAGCTATGGTTAGCCTTTTACTCTTGTTTCGAAAAAAAGTATTTTCTTCCACACAGTCATCTTAAAAAAACAACAACAACTACACAACACAACTTTGCCTCCAGCCAATTACCCTCACATGCTTCACAAATTTTTACATTTCTCATTTCCACAATTAACATTCAGGTTTTTTAAGTTCAAATATGCCCTCTAGAGAACATTAAAAGTGCTTCAGAAGAGAAGCAATTCATTGTTAATTATCCCAGGCACTTGGTTTTGTAAATAAAATTTGTTCTTTCAGATTGGTAACTTCTTTGAAAATAAGGACATTCATACATTGATCCGATCAGGAAAAGCATTCCCTTACTGCGCGTAAGTAAATCAAATGTTAGCGAAAATGCCTGCAGTTTTGAGACTAGCTTAATGCATCGATTGCTTTTAAATGAGTGTAAGTGCTAAAAGTTGGGGTTTTTTTGTTGGCTACTTAGGTCACAATGTGTCATCTCTTAAACAAACGTATCCTGCACCCACCTGCTATCATCTACACTGGCACTAAATGGAACCTTGTATAAGCGTTAAGGTTGCACAATTCTGCAAAAAGTTGTGTGTAGGAAGCTGTCAAACTATTGGTCTATCTATTCTGTACTGTCCTCACTGACTGGCAGTGACTCTCCAGGATTTCAGAGGGGACATTCCCATCCCCAAGTGGAGATGTTGAGGATCGAACCTGGAACCTTCTGCATGCAAAGCAGATGCTCTGCCACTGAACTATGGCCCCTACCTGATAAATACAGTCTGCATGGAACTGTATACAGTGTGCCTGCAACTTATGTGTGTTTAACTTGCATGCATTCAGCTTTATGTGCTTGGCAAAAAAATAAAAACGGGGATGGGCATCTGGGAAAAAAGTCTTTGGCAATCTCACTTGCACCCAATGTGTTTTAACTATGCATTATTTTGACTTTAGATGCAATCCCCAGAACGTAGCCCCTGCGTAAGTTCCAGGCTTATAGAAACAGGAACAATGATAAACTCTCACCATGCTGCTGTTTTCTACCTACCTGTCTGATTTGCGCAAGTCTATCAGCTGTGCTTCCCAGGAAGAAAATGTTTTTTAAAGAGTAAGAGAAATGCAAAATAAGGCGGCTGCTGTCAAAAAACAACCTTAAGATTATGACTGGCAGCAGAAGCTGCTTCAAGCTGCCCCCCAAAGAGATCCCAAAGCTGGAGACTATCCCAGTCGTAAGGAGCAGAGCAGGGCATCCAGGCTGCCTCGAGCGGCAGACCAGTGAAGTGAACAAAGGCAGTAGCCAGACGGCAAGCGAGTTCACTTGTAGAGCAGACATGCCTCAGAGTTAAGTCTTCCAACCTCAACAGTGCCTTTGTACATATTCTCAGAGTTTAGGAGGCAGAAGTGGGAAACTACAGAATTTAAACAGCCAGCACATTATACTGCCTGTGATATCATCATCATCATCATCATCATTCATTATAAGCTGCTTTTAAAGCCCAAGCCCTTCCAAGGCATTCCAGAAACGTTTTCAATGATATATACCGTATTTTTTTGCAACATTAACACCACGTTTTTTCCTCCTAAAAAGTAAGGAGAAATGTCTGTTGTGTGTTATGGACGGGAATGCCTACGCGTGGCATGCTACGGATTTTTCCCTCCTCTAAAAACTAGCGTGCGTGTTAGGTGGGTGCGTTTTATAGAGTGAAAGATACGGTATTCCATAGATAAACAGTACGAGTCTCAGCTGAGGTTGTATATTCCATGCAGCCACAATTTGTGCCATGCTAGTAAGAAAATTGGTGTAATAATAAATAATTAGAGCTTGGTTCAGTCTATTATCATGGCTGCAAGTACCCTACAAGGAATAACAGGACCAGGTTTCGCTAAACAAACCCACACCCCAGGGGCACACAGAATTTCCAAGATGCTGGTCACTGATCTTCCACATCAAGTCTCTTTTAGCTATTAAGAGTCCCACAAACTTCCATAATCTGCTGTTGTATCTGGGTCCTCCTTCTTCCTCATTATATATGAACAATAAAGTCATGCCAGACAGGATAAAACGATGGCTTTTTTTATATCTTCTGTGTAAATGAACTTTCTCTAATAGCTTTTCTGATGTGGCCAGAAAACAGATTTTGCCATTTCAGATTTCCACTGGCTGTCACAGGCTCTCCAGAGTTTCAGACCAGGGACACCTGAAGATGCCAGTGATTGAACCTAGACCAGCAACTGCCATCTGAAAGCAAGCAATACACACACACAAACACACAATCTTAAGTGTTTAATTTCTCTATTTTCTTATGGCTCTTATTGCTGAAAATATATTCTTCATCATCATCAACCTTTATTACGGTCCAGAGACCCAACCAATTGTTACAAAGCAATACACAATTCATACAGCCTACCTCCAGGTTAAACAAGCATTTCGTTCAGAATATAGGGATCATTGGTTCTAGCAACCACAGATAAAAACTTGGCCACTGCTAATGTTCTAGCATTTCTCCGGTCTTCCAATAGGAACCTGACATAGTGAAAATATATTCAGCCAGTGCTTGTAGTATAGTATTTCAGAATCGAGGAATCTATGCAGAAGCACAGGAGATGACGTTTTGAAGGTCTGCAGTTTCCTGTCACTCTCTTAAATCCAGCAGAAAACCGGACTCAGCAAGCAAATTTGTTTTAACTTGTGTAAATTATCGGGTCACAGGTGTGTGTGTGTGTGTGTGTTTTGTTCATTGACCCGGAAAATGAGTTAGTCGTTGTACTGTTAACTTTGATTATGAATGACACAGTACACAAACTATTTCAGGCCTGACTCACCCCTCACAGATAGTTGCATGTACTAGCAGATAAGTTGCACTTTGGCCACATGTGAGCTAACTCTACTAGTGTTTTGTCTTATAAGTCACCAATATATAAAGAATGGTTGAGAAACGAAAGGAAGGAGTCACACTTGCCTCTTGTTTTGTTAGTTTCGCGGCATCCTTGCCTTCAGCACCCTCTGGAGACTAGGAAGGAAATGATAGAATTTAGTTAGTTACACTACATTCTACTTCCTTAAATCAGACAAGCAGGGATAGAAATAAGAAAGCAAAAGCCAAGCATTGCACATTATTCTATCCCTCCAAAATACTACTTTTATTTTAAGTGCTTTACGTGTTTCAGAGCAGCAGTGACGAGCGCAACCTTGACTTCATGGTGAAACATGATAGCAGTAGGTTGCCCTGTCTCTAATACAGACATTTTAATCAGGGATAGAGCATCTGACCTTGCCAGTTTTAAAAACATCTCTGAAGCTGGCTTTACATTTCCCATTAAAGGTAGATTTAAATTACACATGAAATAAACTGCCTGAAATGCTTTCAAAATTCACTATTTAGTTTTAATAACAAACAAGAGTCAATCAAAATACCTCTCAAATGGTAGCACAGCAATTGCGTTGCCTAGCCCTAAGGGGTCAGGGTAATGGAGTGCAATTGCAAAATGTATTTAAACTTCCCTCAATAACAGACAAACACCGAGACAAGAAAAGCACAGGCTAAATATGTATTTCCCTTGCTTCTACACATGACAGTAACAGAACATCGCTTTAAACAAAATGGCAGATTTACAAGACGGCATTCAGACACATCCCGAAGGCACTTCAGAATTCCCAGGCTACGACCCCAGTGCTGAAATCTTGTCTATGTACGTTTTTCATTGTGGCAAGAATCAGGCTTTCCCCAAGGATATGACACTGGCTGCCTTACAGCCTAAAAAAGATGGCGCTCATATGCCTCAGCTGAGTTTCCAGCTGATTAACAAGGTGCGTTCATAGAGGGATGCAACAGCTGGAGATTGATAAGATAAGGGAATGGAGTGGAACCTTGAGGCTTAACCTAACAAGGATGTAGAAATCTCTTGGAACACCAAATGCTTTGCTTCCCACAGGCATGGGCTCCTCCAATATTAAGAGATCCATGAGGCAGAAATGACGAATGGACCAAAATAAGGCACGGGAATTGATTTTCAAATTCATCCTGCCTCTCATGTAGGCAGTCATGAGGTCGCCCCATTTTCCCCAGGACACAAATAATGCCAGTGGCAAACTGACAAAGGATACAATCTAGGACTGAGTGATGCCCAGTTTTCAACATCGCGATATATCACCAGCTAAATATATCACCAACATATCACAATGCCTGAAATAAGGATGTAACTATGTAGAGGCGAACGGAGTACAGTTGTACCTCGGAAGTCAAGCCGCTTGACTTCCAAAGAACGGCTTCTGATTGGATGCAGGAAGCTCCTGCAGCCAATCGGAAGCCGTGGAAGCCCCGTCAGACGTTCGGCTTCCAAAAGAACATTTGAAAAGCGGAACAGTCACTTCCGTTTTCAATTGTTCAGGAGCCGGAACGTTCGACTCCCAAGGTGTTCGGGAGCCGAGGTACAACTGTAATGTCCTGGCAACAGCTACCACTTCGGGGGTCTAAAACTGATACATTTTTACTTAAACATATTTTTATAACTGTTATTTTATAATACAGAGCAACAAGGCAGCAGGAATCATGAGAGAAGGAATAACCGGCTTCACGGGTTTTCCCACATCACGTTTTTTTTACATAGCACACAAACACATCGTGAATTACGATCTATTGCCATGTCAAATATTATGAAACCCTATCACGATGTGGACTTCAAGCCGATTTTGGATGATGTATTGATGCATTACCGAGCACCACTGCAATTCAATACTCAGGACTAAGCTCAGTGGGAGTGGCGACTGAGTAAATAACAGGAGACTCATATACATGTCTACTCAGAAGCAAGTCCCACTTAATTCAACGAGGCTTATTCCCTTGCACTGCAGTCTCAGAGACTAACATCTCATTTACAGTTTTCTGCTAAAGGGAGACCTGAATGCCTCAGCAAAGAAAATTGAATTAGGTTTCTGTTGCAAGCCGCAATCCTAGAAAAAGAGCACATCACTCTTTAAAACTGATATGCTCCAGACCCTGAAATGCTTTGGGCCATCAGGGAAAATATAATGTAAATTAAAATTAAAATGGCTTCAGAAGAAGACTCAGCGGCAGCTTCAAGTAGAACAACCATTCAATTACGCATGTACAGTATTCCAGTTTATTTTACAAGTCACTGTAGAAGAGAGGTGAAGAGAGAAGTAATGAAAACAAGTAATCAATAGAATCATTTTGAGAAAGGAGCTGAGGGAGCAATAGGCAGCTCAGACACATGCATGTACAACAGTTGATTTCTCACTGCTTGATTACTCAACCTAAGCGAGCCTGCAAAAATGAAAGCAAACAACGTCTCTTATTAGTGAAGCCATGAAATGAGACTGACGTTGCCTGGTCTTTGCACACTTCTTGCGCAGAAGTAAAATGCCATGGAGTTTAGTGGGGCTTATTCCAGCTTAGCATGCATAACATAAACAGGTTTCCTTGGTTTCTCTAGCCAAAGCAACAGTTTTCAACCTTGCCCACTTTTCAGTATTTTATCATGAGCCTACCGCAGAGGCTTATTTTGTTTAACTGAACCCCAAACACCAAGGTTTGTTTATCATCTAACAAGAACTGAGCATGCCATGGCAGTTACAAGTATGGTTTACAAGCAGTAAAATTCTTAAACCAGCATATATTTTGATTCTGGTAGATGGCCCAGTGATTTTTTAAAAAATTCATTTTTTTATTTGCAAATTTAACAAGGAAAGAGAACAAAAGGGGGGAAATGAACTTCGCGGAGATGACGCATGCTACAAGGCAGACTTGCCCAGTGATCTGGAATTGCACGTTTCAGAAAAATATAGGCCTGTGTATTTTGTTTTCCAAATCATGGCTTTTAAAAATAATAATAAATACCTGTGATTTTACTGTGTACAGTCTTTTACAATGTTTGTAAGCTGCCACTGGGGTAGATATATTGAAAAGAATGCAACACAAATAAATAATAAAATAAAAAAGATAATCAAAGCCTACATTTTTAGAATTTACCAGTGTGTTCTGGTTTGTTTAAAGGTTTCGATGGATAAAATGAAATTTCAGAGGCAAAACCTTAACAAGAGAGAGAGAGAGAAGAAGGAACTCTACTGAGTCCCAGATCTGGAATTATTTTAGATTATTAGATGTCAGCTGCTCAGCAGGCAGGGAAAACAAAACTGAAATTAATTCACAGGCACCAGCACCATATTATTATTCAACTGTTTAGAAAAAGTGCCTGGGATATTATCCTGTCCCATGGTAAGTATCCTGTGTGCTTTCCCTCAAAAATGGTCTCCGATCAGCCACACCAGTAAATAGGGCAGATGTGATCAGTTACTGCTATGTTTGCACTGACTAGGGCGGGAGGTGAACTTAGCTGTTCACAGCTCCTGCCATCTTTATTTTACAAGCAATCACACTGATTCCTTGACCTTCCAAATCAGCCAGTAGTCTAAATCTCAGACTTCCACAAAGGAACTTAAGGTAGCATATAGTTCATCCACACAAGAATCCTATGAAGGGGCCAAGATCACTGTTCGAGAAGTTTCACATCTTAATTTCACATCTCAACACTATACCACACTGGCTCTCTTGAGCCAATGTTAAAAATACATTATTCTACAGATGTCATCATACAAACAACTCTAAACTTTACACAAAATACTTCCAAGTAAGTATGCAAAGGAACGAAAATTTAGGCTGCAGTCTTGTGACCATAAGGGTAAGAACAAACGCTTCAAGAAAAAAGATTTCCTTAAAAAAAAAGTTCTGCTATATAGACTGTAATGATATATAGACTGTAACAGTTTAAACTGTTTAAAGATCTACTGTAAAGATCTACCGCAAAAGAAACAAAATGTGCAAAAGCCCCTTGTATAGAATTAATGCCCAATTTCTTCAAGGTTAATAACTTAGTAATAGAGAGAGTGTGTGTGTGTGGAAGTTAGGAGATTTGTGCTCCAAAATGCATGTTAATAAAAAGCCTTAGTAATAATAAAAGCTTCATCATAAGCTGTGGTGAATATTGTATTGTGGCAAACATTTGGTGTAAATGCCAAAAGTTGAGGGGCATGAGTGGAAGGAGGTGAAGGGTGAAATTGGATTCTCTAAGACACTCTTATCTAATTGTAAATTATTCTTTTGCAGAATCTCCTGAATTTAAATGCAGTGTTGCTATGAGCCAGTGACGAGACAAAATGTATTGATAAGCCTTGCCTTATTAACTGCTTCAATTACCATTACTGCTGACTGAAGGGGAAAAATATTCCCAAACCAGGCCAATAGCTCAGCAATTGTAGGTGTGGAAAAATGATTTTTAAAATACAATTGGCCTGGCTGCTCTCATCCTCTCCAACACAGAGAAAGACACAACAGAACTGAGAGAATATTTTGGACTTCTGGCTCCTACAGTTCTAAACATGTCTCTAGTTTTCCTTTCCTCCTTTTGTTCCCTTTTAACTGCAAAATGAAAATGCCTCTTATAATGCTATCCAAGGCATGCCTACTCAGAAGTAAGTTCCCTGGGGATCACTCCTAGAGAAGCGGGATCAAAATGGCAGCCTTAATGGATTTTCTGACCAAATATATTTTGTAAACTCGGTACAGTATGTTGTCCTCATTTTGTTGAAGCTGTGATTACTCGTATCTGCTTTTTCAAAAGTTATTTATATAGTAGTACAGTATTAGCAAACAGATTTCCCCACCATCTGAAACATGAAAAATTGGACGTTTTCATAAAGATTTCTGAGTTGTTGTGCGCAATTAAAAATCCTGCACCTACATTGGTCCACATTTCTAGGGAATTATTTCCTAAGCACTACACTTCACAAAAACAGACAGACAGTCTAACACAGGTAATAATAATAATAATAATAAATGTTATTTATATCCCGCCCTCCCCAGCCGAAGCTGGGCTCAGGGCGGCTAACAACAATCAAAGTAGTCCGACATTCTAAAAACATTCATTATAAAATTAATTAAATCAAATTAAAATCAAATTAATGGCAACCATCAAGCAAAATTCTGTGCAGATTGCCGATTGCCAGAGGAGGATTGCCCTGACCAAAGGCCTGGTGGAACAGCTCTGTCTTACAGGCCCTGCGGAAGGATGTCAGGTCCTGCAGGGCCCTAGTCTCTTGTGACAGAGCGTTCCACCAGATTGGAGCCGCGGCCGAGAAGGTAGTGGAGATTTCTCCTAATGACAGAGTAACATGTGAATAGGGCTTCTATCTAGCCTATGAAATACCTTTAACAAGTCCATAAATTTATTCTAACCTTCTAAAGTAGGCATCAGAATTACATATGTATTTAATATATGTATATTATGGGGTGTGGGTTGTTTAAATGTTCGCCCCAGAATTTTGACTAGCACCTCTGGGCATGGCAAATAAAGCATTTTATTTTTTTAAAGAAACCAGGAGTTTTCTCAAACCACACATTCAGTTTTCAGAGTGGGATGATAGATCAAAAGCACTACCACAATACTCTGTATTTCAAAAAACCAATGGGAATCTCACTAGTTTAGTTTGTTGATATACTGACTATTACTCTCCATGGGACATAAAAATTCTGCAATCACAGAAAGCCTAGGCAAACTCAACCAGCTTTTTACTTACTATGGACATTCTTCCTAAAACAACCCATGAAAATTACAAATAACAATGCTACTGTGTGACTTTTAAACATCAGGAAGGTTTTAAAAAGTATTAAAATAGAAAAACTACTAGCATTCAATAGATTCTGAAATATTCAATGTATGTATATTGTATATAGGTATGGAATGCATCTTTCATCAATTACCTAATAAGCATTAATACAAGCCCTCTTTTTCGATGTATAAAAACTACATGCTTGCATGGGCTCAATAAAATTTTCACATTTAAAATTTAAACCTTTACCATATCCTGTGATTTGAACTGGATGGTTGTTTTTTTCTGATGCACCCTAAATATTTACAGTGTGATCTGCTTTAACATGTTTGATTTATTTCGGGGAAGGATTAAAAAAAGTAACTCTCTCCAAGCAGCAGGTATATAAACAGTAAGTAGTATTTGATTCAAGAATAAAGAATGCACACTTAAATGTAGCTTAAGTGTAATATGTAAACAACAGGATATGCTTCCATTCCATTTTAGCAATTTTAACAATTTTAGGTTTGGTGCTAATCTGACCTGCACAGCCAATTAGGCAAATTTGCAGTATGAATTTGAGTTTGGTTTTGTATATATGCACTTGTTTGTACCTCTATCTAAAAATCAACAAAGCATGTTATGTGCTCTCTAACACACTACCTAAGAAAAATATCCAGAAAATCAACAGTTACAACTTTAGAGCTTACACAATATTGCCATTGCTACTAACTGTTGATGGAACAAATAATCTTCTTGAAATGGATTTCTTTCAGTGGAAAAATAAGGGACTGGAATGGAAAGTTTTCTCCCCCATATCATTGGTCTGTTTTGAAACACCCAGATCTTGATTTAGCTAAAAAGCTAGTTGTGGCCACGTCCTCCCCTGGCTCAACGTGGCTCCCATGTCACTCCATCACTGCCAATCTCCTGCTACCACCTGCCAAAGGTGCAGGTGGGCAGGAGATCCATTGGTGAGAGCCAATGGGACGCGTAAAAAAAAAAAGGGCATTCTCAGGGTGGGGCTGAACCGGCTGTGGATCTGCTGGCTGCCAAGCTGGTCTCACTGCCATCATGTGACAGCATCAGACCTGATCAGATCAGTGCCCTGCCCCTTCAGCTGAGGACACTATGAGCAGAAGATGTGGCCATGCTGGAAAGCCCAGCCAACACAAGGATTCCACCCTTAGTCAGTACAAATGTTTCCCAGATAAGCGCTTCTTCTCTGGCATGATAGATTGGCACTTAATTTCTTCTCAAAGTCCTTTAGAGCATATGTAGGCCAAAGCACCTCTCTAGACTACCACCTTTTGTATTTGTACCTTATTCTAGTATAGTGGTACCTCGGTTTACGAACTTAATCCATTCTGGAAATCCGTTCCTAAACCAAAACCTAATGAGGCCTCCCACCACCGGTGCCCTTCCACCGTTCGGATTTCGTTCTTAGACCAAGCTAAAGTTCACAAACCGGGACACTACTTCCAGTTTTGCGGAGTTTGTAAACCGAATAGTTCGTAAAAGGGCTGTTCTTAAACCGAGGTGAGAGTTTTGAGTTGCAACCTGCATCTTCATACTAAATGTGCATACCGTAATAAAATGTGCAGCTATATAGACGCTTCCATTAAATATGTAATAAAATTTAAGAAGAAAATATGAGTATGAAGCCATGGACCGCAGCCTGCCCTGCACCGTAAGAAGCAGGCAAGTGAGGAAACCCGCTAATCCAGCCCTTTCTTCCTTGGTCCTGAACACTACCGCCAAGAAGATACCTTATTCCCTGGTTGCTTCCACATAACAGGATGTTCACCTCTACCATTTATTTAGCGGCCTAGCCATTTCTCTGGGTAGCATGGCCTGGCCAGGAGGCATGGGGTGAATAGTAAGGCCACACATAAAGTGAGCCGGTTTTTCGTAACAGTTTGAACAGTTAACCAAAAGAGCAAATTAAAAAAAAGATCAGGAGTTGCTTGCCAAGTTGAGCAGGGCCCCAAACCTGACACCAACGCCAGGAGGCGACTGCTGCAGCTCTGCCCACTAGGTGAGCCACTCCTGAAATATAAAAGAGGAAAACACATCCAGATAAGCCTAGTTTATATTGTTTCCTTATTCAAGTCATTAGTTCTCTCAGTTTAGCTTCTGGATTCTAGGTTTACTGCATCCCTCCTCTCCATCCTGGCTTCTTTTCTCTGATTTTAGCTTTCTCGTTTCTTCAAACAAAGGTCAAACGATACTTATCAGCTTTACTTATATACATTATTTCCGCTCCCTATTCCAATGTCTTGGCCAATCAGAAGGGCAGCCGAGTTCTCTGTGGGTTTCTCGCTCCCACCATTTCTTTGCTTTCTTTCCCGGCCGCCTCTTTTTATTTTACTGTTTCATTTCACTCTTAATTTTCCTATTCTAGGGCTGAAAATTTGACCCTCCTGCAAAGAGCAAACTAACTAAAAGAAACCATTTTACAATCAAGAACAAAGCACACAAAATGGCTGAAACAGTTTCACTCCTTCACAGAGAAGATTTAAATTCTAAAAATATGCACTGGAAGCAGAATGATAATTTTCTAATCCTTAAGAGGGTAATGTCAACATCATGAAGTGACACTTTCCTGAAATGAGAATGAACTAGGCACTAATGCTTAATACACTGCCAGTCCCATCTTACGCAAACTGACTCAGAAGCAAGGCCCACAGAGTTCAATAAAGTGAGGCCTTGGCCTTGAAGAGTCCAAGAGCAGAAAAACAGTGGGCAACGTGAGCCAAATTTCTTGTTTACGTCAATACAATCTATCTATCTGTGTGCGTGTCACACAAAGGAATGTATGTGCAATTGACAGCCTTCGCTGAAATAAACTGGGCAACATTTCTGGATGTGGAAACTCCACGTTTGAGGCAGAGCTCCAACAGCTGCAGGAAATTTTTGGATCATGGTGACATAGCCACATGACTTGAAGACATCAAAACACACGCAGGTTCATACACACTGGGCTAAAAAACAAAAACCTCCAGGCACATCAACACCAAGCTAAAAACCTGACATTATGGATTTTATTGAGATAAATCGCTGCTTGCTCCAAATCACTTCTGTGAGCAAAACTGAACTACCCCTCCATCTCTTTCCCCACCCCAAAATCTACTCTAGAGAGTTGGGGAGGAACCCTAGGCAGATTTGGGAGCACACCGGGGGAAAGAAAGTAAATGGAAATTCCACTGTGCCTGCAGAATTCACTCTGTGCACACAAAGGATTTGTTTGGACGCAACCCTATGAATTTCAAGCGTCTTCCCAATCCTGATATACAGGCTGATCCTAGTTATTAGTTTATTAGTTAGAAGTCAGCCCCATTAACCTCAATGGAGCTTGCTCTTCAGTAGAATATGGATTGTAGCCATACACAGTTTTAACCCCCTTAAAAAAAAAAACACTCACAAAAACCACAACCCTTTAAATCTTTGCTGTATTTCTACAGCCAAAATTATCTATTCAAAATTACTCCATGAATTATTCATCAAAAGAACAGAGAACAACAAAAACAAAAACCTACTGAGGGGAGTGAGGGGGATTTAGTTTTGTTTCAATTAGTTTGTTTATTTGTTATAGTGGTTCTATGTATGTTTGCTAAGTGAAGTATAAAAGTGTACTGCAACTGTATCAGTGTACTGTACAGTGGCACCTCGGGTTAAGTACTTAATTTGTTCCGGAGGTCCGTTCTTAACCTGAAACTGTGCTTAACCTGAAGCACCACTTTAGCTAATGGGGCCTCCTTCTGCCATCAGAGCCCGATTTCTGTTCTTATCCTGAAGCAAAGTTCTTAACCTGAAGCACTATTTCTGGGTTAGCGGAGTCTGTAACCTGAAGCGTATGTAACTCGAGGTACCACTGTACTGTACTTTATCCTGCAGATAACTTCCACTGCTTTTATATTTATTCTCGAAAGCCTAATAAAAATTCTTATTAAAAAAGAGTGCACACACCCTCACACACAATTGATTGCAGGACACAGAAGAAACCCCTATGCCTCCTCTGCACTGTACCTGATCCCTTCCTGATCCGTCTTTGCCCTTGGAATCTAGCCTGGTAAATTCAAGAGATCCAGTAATGGACACAGGACCAACACTTTTGAAGTTCAGAATCATAGAATAGCAAAGTTGGAAGGGAGCTCGAGGGTCATCTAGTCCAACCCCCTGCAATGCAGGAATCTTTGCCCATAGCGGGGCTCAAACTCACGACTCTCAAGCTCTAGCAACCGAGCCAACTCTGAGAGCCAACATAGTGTACTGTTGAACTAGGACCTGGGAGAACAGGATTCAAGGCAGAGGCACATTTTCTTTGTTTTTCAGATAATGAACACACATGCAATAGCTGGCATCTTTTAAAAGAAGGCATTCCTCTTGTATGTGTATGTGTGAAAAGAGAGAATGCCTCTTTTAGGATGGTGCTTGCTACTGCAGTTTTTACCAACACTTGCATTAAAAACTTCTGCTGCCCTGATTAATAAAGAGGCACCATTTTAATGAACGGAGCAATTACATACTGTTGATTTTCAAATAAAGTGCAACTTCAGATCTCAGCCTCGCAGCCTAGATCCTCGGAACATGCTACAAAAGTTTCACTGTAAGCAATGGGTTCAGACAAAGTTAGCTAAGCTTGGGTTCCACTGAATTTAATCAGTCATTAGTCAGAATTTAACTCAAATCCCATTGATTTTAACAAGAACCAGGTTCAAATAACTTTAGCCTGGATCCAACCCCATCCAATTCAGTCCTGGGTAACTAAATTGTGGTCCAAGAATGAGAATGTAAGTTGTAGGCCATTTCAACTACCAACAGTCTTCTTTTACATTTGTACAAACTGTTCTGGGAGTACAGAGCTTATCAACGAAATTGATCCATTTGAGTCTAACATTCTTACTGATCTGCTGAAAACCTATTTGCAATCTCTTCTCTGATTCATCCTTTCTTTTTTTAAAAAAACCTGTGTGTATATATGGATTATGGACACTTGCTTATTTTAAATTGGGAACTGCTATCTAGCGAACATTATTGTTTGCTGTACCTGGCAAAAAGCTGAAGATTTCTGTATTGATTTATTGGCCTGCACAGCCTTGACAGGTACCTGTCATTACAAACCAGCAGATTTAGTATAGAGCAGGATATGAAGGTAGTATGCTTTTGCTTCCTGGGCCAAGGCTACCTACACACTGGTTTCCTTGCAGAGAGTAGCACAGAACATGAGGCGACATACCAGAGGTTACAACTGAACACAGTACGGCAAACGAGTTTTTGTGAAAGCATATCTGAAGCTCCTGAGTAGGCACACGCTGCTTTATCTTTTACTTTTGCTTCCATGTCTATAAAGTTTAAACACTACCATTAGAATTGTGGTCTTTTTTTTTTCTTTTTAAAAAGCAAACATCCCTCCATTTTTGGTAGGTTTTTAAGGACTGCCCAGGGGTAGGTGGATGCAAAACCGCTGGATATTCAATGGCAGAGGTGTAAGTTATGATAGCACTGCTTGACTGGATTACAAAACAAGCAGCACACTTAGGAGCTGACTCTGGAAAGGTGATTTCCAATGTTGCAGAGTACAGAACATCTTGAGGTGTATAGCGGAATGCCAGGTCGTGAATATTTTTAATACATTTTATTTATTTATTTTGTAAAGCAGCAGGGAGTTGGGCTTCAGAAGTCACCCAGCTTTAGTGACATTCCACTTCTACTTATATTAATCTCCGGCTCCCCATCTGAGCAATTTGTTTTACATAAGTGCTCTTTTTTGATCTAGCCGTAACAAGCTCAGCTATCAGGCAATTTACCGTTTGTCAACAGCAATTTCACCAATAAAGTGCCTCAGTGGAGGCAAAGACAGAATGCCCACACAACCGCTTCAATCTGCAGAGCTGGCGCTGTTATAGGTGCCACATAATACTTGTTCTGCTTTTGTAAGAATTCAAACTTCCAGCGCGGAAACACTCAAACTTTGGAACTCCCTGTCTACTGACATCAGGCAGGCGCCTTCACTGTACAGTGGTACATACACTTTCAGGTTACATACGCTTCAGGTTACAGACTCCATCCTAGATGCTGTCCAACAGAGAACGTGTGTGGTTTTTAATCTTTCTGGAATGAAAAATCTGAAGGTTTGAAATCTGTTTTCACTATTTCCTCTGGTTTAGAATAACCTCTTCTTTATTTGTTATTTATAGTACGATGAATGAGTATAGCATCATGAATGCTTTTTCTATATTTACAGTAACATGTTTGTTTGTTTTTAAGTGGTAGACGGGGATCCGCTTACTCACATGATTCTATGATTCTATAATAATTTGATCTGGCTTCAACTGGCTTCAGGATGTAACTCCAAGAGAGCGTGGTCAGAGAGTTGGCTGGACAAAGACAGAAAGTAAACTAGTGGGTGAGTGGTTGGGGAATCAGGGCTTGCCCCCTCAATGTAACTGTTGTACAGCAGATAGGGGAAACCTGCAGATTCCAACTCAGATCAGTGCCAACAAGCATGACCAGTGATCAGTTCAACAACATCTGGAGAGCTACTGGTTCCCATACATGCAAAACAGGATTGCTCTGTTCACTATAAAGATCCAATATTACATCAGGAGCTGATATTTTCAGGTTGAAAACCCTAAAAACAATTCAATGTGCTTGCTTTATTAGTGAAACCTTCCCTCCGCCAACCTCTTATTTAAACATTACAATGACTGAGGGGGTTAATGTTTTTAAAAGAAAATGGTCTAACAACAAATCATTAAAAGCTGTAACAATGGGTGGAGCTGAGTTTAAAGAACCATAGAGCATC